AGTTCATATAGCTGTTTCTAAATTTAAGAACTTCATTGACATGTATAATATATCTTAAGATCCAAATAATTCTCACATCTGTGCTTTCTCATATATTTAAAACCCTTTGAAAAGTATTTATAATCTAAACATTACCTCAACATTTCCAAAAAACACCCACAATATCCAATATAAAATTTGCCTCTGAATTCTTAGTCTTAGTCCCCAAAGTTCCCAGCTAAGACAATGCATATCTCTAAATACATGTCACATGGTGATGTCTCACTGTAATTTTCCCTTAGTAGGTGCATATGTCTCTAACCTAGAACATCAACTCATCTTGCCACGCTCAGTCTTCCGTCCTGCCCTTCTCTAGCTGGAGCTGCCTTCTAGTATCCCTTTTAGGACAGCTGCCCATTTCTGATAATTCTACTGTGCCACTGATATTTCCTGCTTCATCTCCCCAAAACTTACATTTGACCTGCATTGTGCCTTCTCAGAGAGTAGGTTTAACAGATGGGTAAAGACAGGACAATAAGTGTACTGGGTGTTTCATTACATCTGTAAAAAAGTCATCAAGGTTTAGACCAACTGTCCAGCTTATACTACCTCCCTTTCAAGTCAAGTCTGCCAACATTGTTAAGACATAGGGAAAGATGCCTCTTTCCAACTCTTTCCAGTCACCAGACAAACTTCATGGATACAAAGAGTGCACTTCCTGTAAGGATCACGAAAACTGTGGGAGATACCTGTGATGTAGTCCTCACCTCACCACTTCCTCTCATTCATAGTACTGGTGACCTTGAAAAAGTCTTTACCTTTCCTAAGTCTATTTTTCCAGTTACACTTGGCAGAAGGCACAAGGTAATTATCAAGGTTCTTCTACAGCTAGTGTTCTCTGATTCTACTAGAATGAATGAATAGAAAGACTGTCTCACTCTGTTTACCCTGAGAGTTAGGACATGCTCCATCGTCACTCCTTCTACTGCTGCCAAACAGCTGATTGTTTACCTCAAAGAACACTTGTGTCTCTGGTAATTCTGCCATCTGAGCATTCATCCAAAGCGCCATGGAATGGCTTTATCTTGGCATCATTTCTAGAGTGGGATGGATCAACTGAGTTTAGCATCATAGAGAATGACCAAGGACACTGAATCCCAGCTCTCTCTCCACACTCCTGAACCCAGGATCATGGGAGACTTATTTTCATTTATAATTTCTCTCTTCTTTATTCCAAACTAGAATTACCTTTACTACTTAAAAAATCCATTATAAATGTAACACACTATTGTTGCAAAAGTTCATACAACACAGAGTGTATCAAGTAGAAAGGAATTTATATATGTCAAAACACCATCCTGTTCTGTAACCTGTTTTTTCCTCTCCATATTACACAGTAGAATTCTTAGAATTTCAATACCTACAATTACATCTTATCCATTTTAAAAGCTGAAGAATATTATAGTGTGTATATCATAATCTATTTAAACAAACCCCACCTGATATGATTTAAGTAATTTCAATTTTGGGGGCAATTGCAATATAATATTGTGATCGACGTCCTTATTGAGATATCTTACAATATATCTGAAATTATTTCCATTGGTTAAATTACAAAAGTAATTTGTGTGCATAAGTATGTGCTAAAGGAAGCAAAGTTAAAATTTGGTAAGTATTTTTCCCCTCATCTGCCAAAAAGTGTGTACCATTTTACATCTTTATCAGTAGTGTTATCAGTAGTGTATAAGAATGCTTGTTACCAATGTGAGTGATCAACACAGTAGCACTGAGGAAGAGGAAGACATAGAGAGATGCATGGGAGGTACAGACAACAAAGGCAAACCCTTTTGCACATACAGTACTGCGTTATCAGTGAAGGCAAACATTGATATAGGGGTGGATAGATGCGTGGACAGGCTGAACAATTAGGTGTGTGTAGTAGGTATGTCTATGCAGGGGTCGGAGCTCTGGTAATGCAGTGCCTAAGGCATTTGACTGCTAACCAGAAGACTTACAGTTCAAACCCACCACCCACTCTTGGAAGGAAGATTGGGAAATCTACTTTCATAGAGATCCCGCCTTGGAAACTCAAGGAGGGGTCACTATGAGTCAGATCTGACTCAATGGCAGTGAGTTCTTTTCTTTTTCTTTTTTTTTTTTAATGCTGGGTGGAGGGAGCTCCAGTAGCATAGTGCCTAAGGCATTTGACAGCTGACCAGAAGGCTGGCAGTTCAAATCCATGAGCCACTCCTTGGAAAGAAGATTGGGCAATCTATTTCCATAGGGATAGCGCCTTAGAAACCCAAGAAGGGGTTGCTGTGAGTTGGATCCCACTTGACAGCAGTGAATTTGGGTTTCTTTT